ATGTCTCCCAGGTGTGACAGACACCCACGAATGTCTCCCAGGTGTGACAGACACCCACGAATGTCTCCCAGGTGTGACAGACACCCACGAATGTCTCCCAGGTGTGACAGACACCCACGAATGTCTCCCAGGTGTAACAGACACCCATCAATGTCTCCCAGGTGTCACAGACACCCATGAATGTCTCCCAGGTGTAACAGACACCCATGAATGTCTCCCATGTGTCACAGACACCCATGAATGTCTCCCAGGTGTAATAGACACCCATGAATGTCTCCCAGGTGTCACAGACACCCATGAATGTCTCCCAGGTGTCACAGACACCCATGAATGTCTCCCAGGTGTAATAGACACCCATGAATGTCTCCCAGGTGTCACAGACACCCATGAATGTCTCCCAGGTGTTACAGACACCCATGAATGTCTCCCAGGTGTCACAGACACCCATGAATGTCTCCCAGGTGTAACAGACACCCATGAATGTCTCCCAGGTGTAACAGACACCCATGAATGTCTCCCAGGTTTGACAGACACCCATGAATGTCTCCCAGGTGTCACAGACACCCATGAATGTCTCCCAGGTGTAACAGACACCCATGAATGTCTCCCAGGTGTGACAGACACCCATGAATGTCTCCCAGGTGTCACAGACACCCATGAATGTCTCCCAGGTGTAACAGACACCCATGAATGTCTCCCAGGTGTCACAGACACCCATGAATGTCTCCCAGGTGTCACAGACACCCATGAATGTCTCCCAGGTGTAATAGACACCCATGAATGTCTCCCAGGTGTCACAGACACCCATGAATGTCTCCCAGGTGTAACAGACACCCATGAATGTCTCCCAGGTGTAACAGACACCCATGAATGTCTCCCAGGTGTCACAGACACCCACGAATGTCTCCCAGGTGTCACAGACACCCACGAGTTTATCCCTGGTACATAAGTTAACTAAAATGACCTGTATTACAGGAACTAAAAAAGGACTCTATGGAGGAATATTAGCTTAGTACCGTATATTAGCCTAGTACCTTGTTGCAGATTAGTGCGTTGTACTTGTATAGGTTAGGTTAAGTTAGGGGGGCTTAGGTTAGATTTTAGGTTAAATGTTTTAGGTTGGGTTAGGATAGTTTAGGTTAGGTGATAGGTTTAGGTTAGGTTAGGTTAGGTTAGGTTAGGTTAGGATAGGTCATTAACATATCACGGTGGGTGGATTACAATAGATATTTAGGGTAAGTTAAGTTACGTGTCAAAGATTAAACCGTGTCGACTACCAGGGGTCACTGACGACTACTAGGGTCACTGTCGACTACCAGGGCCACTGACGACTACCAGGGTCACTGACGACTACCAGGGTCACTGACGACTACCAGGGTCACTGACGACTACTAGGGCCACTGACGACTACTAGGGTCACTGACGACTACCAGGGGTCACTGACGACTACCAGGGCCACTGACGACTACTAGGGCCACTGACGACTACTAGGGCCACTGAAGACTACCAGGGTCACTGACGACTACCAGGGTCACTGACGACTACCAGGGTCACTGACGACTACCAGGGTCACTGACGACTACCAGGGTCACTGACGACTACCAGGGCCACTGACGACTACTAGGGCCACTGACGACTACTAGGGCCACTGAAGACTACCAGGGTCACTGACGACTACCAGGGCCACTGACGACTACCAGGGGTCACTGACGACTACTAGGGTCACTGACGACTACCAGGGGTCACTGACGACTACCAGGGCCACTGACGACTACCAGGGTCACTGACGACTACTAGGGTCACTGACGACTACTAGGGCCACTGACGACTACTAGGGCCACTGACGACTACCAGGGTCACTGACGACTACCAGGGGTCACTGACGACTACCAGGGCCCACTGACGACTACCAGGGTCACTGACGACTACTAGGGTCACTGACGACTACCAGGGGTCACTGACGACTACCAGGGGTCACTGACGACTACCAGGGCCACTGACGACTACCAGGGTCAATGACGACTACTAGGGTCACTGACGACTACCAGGGGTCACTGACAACTACCAGGGGTCACTGACGACTACCAGGGCCACTGACGACTACTAGGGCCACTGACGACTACCAGGGCCACTGACGACTACTAGATCCACTGACGACTACCAGGGGTCACTGACGACTACCAGGGCCACTGACGACTACCAGGGCCACTGACGACTACCAGGGCCCACTGACGACTACCAGGGTCACTGACGACTACCAGGGCCCACTGACGACTACCAGGGTCACTGACGACTACCAGGGCCCACTGACGACTACCAGGGTCACTGACGACTACCAGGGCCCACTGACGACTACCAGGGCCACTGACGACTACCAGGGCCACTGACGACTACCTGGGCCACTGACGACTACCAGGGCCACTGACGACTACAAGGCCAATGACGACTACCAGGGGTCACTGACGACTACCAGGGGTCACTGACGACTACCAGGGTCACTGACGACTACCAGGGTCACTGACGACTACCAGGGCCCACTGACGACTACCAGGGCCACTGACGACTACCATGGCCACTGACGACTATCAGGGCCACTGACGACTACCATGGCCACTTACGACTACCATGGCCACTGACGACTACCAGGGCCACTGACGACTACCAGGGCCACTGACGAATACCAGGGTCACTGACGACTACCAGGGGTCACTGACGACTACCAGGGGTCACTGACGACTACCAGGGCCACTGACGACTACCAGGGCCACTGACGACTACCAAGGTCACTGACGACTACCAGGGGTCACTGACGACTACCAGGGTCACTGACGACTACCAGGGCCACTGACGACTACCAGGGTCACTGACGACTACCAGGGCCACTGACGACTACCAGGGTCACTGACGACTACCAGGGCCACTGACGACTACCAGGGCCACTGACGACTACCAGGGCCCACTGACGACTACCAGGGCCACTGACGACTACCAGGGTCACTGACGACTACCAGGGTCACTGACGACTACCAGGGTCACTGACGACTACCAGGGCCCACTGACGACTACCAGGGTCACTGACGACTACCAGGGTCACTGACGACTACCAGGGCCCACTGACGACTACCAGGGCCCACTGACGACTACTTGAGCACATCATGTGTTACTTGCCAAAAGACTTATGGATGAGAGCAAACTCGAGAAAGTCGCTTCTCGGAATTTTGACGAAATCGAAGATAATTGTTAATGTAAGCAAGTCAACAAATTGGTTATCTGCACTATCTGTAATTGAGTAACCTTGAGAGTATTTAAGGCTTATCTGGTGAGCCGAGTGTTGTTATCGTATGTTGTAATAATGATTTGGTGTTGTGATCCCACTCGAGAATTTTTTTATTCGATTGAAAAGGTGCAAGAGGATCAATGATAGTCGCTTACCCAAGCATTTTTTCAAGGTAATATTAAGGAACCGAGTACGTTTTCAGCTGATGGAACCCCGTCGTTCTGATGCTAGAAGTTGACTCGCTGGTCTTTTGACATAAAAGTGCTCCAGCTTTTTTTTATGAATTTCTCTGCTCACTTCTAAGTAGCGAATCTAAAAGTGATCTTTTGAGAGAAGCGGGTTGGTAACTTCTCGAGGTAAACGTCCAGGCTCTCTTGTTTATAACAACGACAGATTATCATTAATAATGTATATGCATGTGTGAGTGTGCTCTCCTGTTTGTCCTCACCAATTTGTTACTGCATAATCGAGCTTTACCTCTTGGACCCCTTCCTTTATAGCGGCCAGTTGTCTAGTGCAATGAGCACTGTCCTATTTTCTTCTCACATATACACTTCCAAAATTATGAATGGCGTTCTCTTCTGCAACCTGCTTCTTCAGTTCATTCCATTTTCTCACTACTCTTACGTTAAAATGAAACTTTCTAAGAGTATAACTCATCTGTATCTCAAGCTTCCACCCATGCCTCTTTTTTATAGGCATTCACTGCCAAAAATTCCTCTTTTACCCTCTGCCAATCTCTTTAAGTATTTTATGCTTCAATCATGTTCTCTCTCTCTTCTCATTTCTAGCGACGTCAGGTTTAGTTCTTTCCGTCTTTCTTCATACACCACCCCTTGCAATGCTTCTTTATTTAGTTTTTAATGATATTCTGACTTTTGCTAGTGCACAATATGCTGCTTACATTATTCTAGTAACATGAGTCTCCAGACTTAGGCTTGGAGTTATGGCCATTACTAGGTTTTATCTCTAGTCAGTTTAGGGTTGTTGTTTCCCATCACTGTGTGCTGAGCCTTAAGTCTCCTGTTATAAATTTCATCACTTTGCACTTGCTGGTGTTTTGCACAAAAGTTATTCAACCCAGAACTTTACTGGATTGAATAGCTTTTGTCCTGTCGTGGTCGAGTGGGTTAAGGCAAGCATCTGGTAGTCACCCGAATGTTGGTTCAAATCATCACGTTGTCCCAGATGATTTTTTCATTGATATATCATGTCATTGTGATTTCATTGTGTCCTGTCCATTTGTTTATGACTTGGCTAGGAATCTAACCAGTACTCTTGGGACTACAACCTCCGAGCGGTGTCTGCTCGGCCATGTGTGTGTGTGCGTTTGTGTGCTTGAGGGAGAGAAAGAGTGGTTTCTCTTATAAACATGTGTTACTGAATATCATAGAAAGGGTTTAAGGGTTTAATAAATTATTTTTGCATGCATCTTTTGTATTTCGTATATTCTTCACTTGGGAAGGTGGGCGAAAAATATACTTTCCAGACTAATTTTTAAATTGTAATGGGCCTAATTGTCGCTAAAGCACACGTTTCGCTGAAGTTCTCTTCAACATCTTGAGATGTGAAGGGAAAGGTAATGTAAATCAGCGGAGATGATAGTGAGCATTCCATGTGTATCTATAAATATATTCAGAAATTATGAGGAAAAACAACGCACCTCGCGGCTGAGTATACACGCTCATCAATAAATAGATCTAAACTAATATTTATTTTTTAGTGGCAGATGAAGGAGGCGTCCAGGAACATCCAGTGACGGACGAGATTGTCCAGAAGGCCGTGAGGGCCGCCAGGGGCCCCGACGCCCAGCTGGTGTCCTGGAAGATCAAGGACTTCACCAACAAGGGCGACAACTACGCCTGCCTGGTGACCAGCGTGGTGGTGCAGTACACCTTGGGAGACCTCCAGAAGGAGACCACCTTCGTCGCCAAGATGATGCGGACTCAGAACAGTGGGGGGTTTAGTGACATGGTGCGTAAGAGCTTTAAGCGAGAGGACGCCTGTCTTGCTGAAATTGTGCCTAGGATGAACAAAATATTGAAGGAGTTGGGCCTTCGTGAAATTGGGTAAGTAGTAGATTTAACAAATCTAGTACTTTGTATATAACAATTATATCCTTATCTGCCATTCAATATTATGTTATTTTTTTCTTAATTATAGAATAAGAAATTCTGCATTTCAAGTTTGTTCTCAAAGGGATATAGACTAAGGTAAATGATGAGTCACAATAACGTGCTGAAGATCTAATGACCAAATCACCCACCTGAAGATGAAGAAACGACGACGTTTCGGTCCGTCGTGGACCATTATCAAGTCGTATGTGATAATGATACGACTTGATAATGGTCCAGAACGGACCGAAACGTCGTCGTTTCTTCATCTTCTGGTGTGTGGTTTAATCATCATAAAATAAGGTGTTTTATATTCTTAGAAGAATAAATATATAAGAAAGGGTGTTCTATTTAATGGAGTTCGTACACTGAGAGATTTCTAGGCCTGGACTATGTCCAGGACTAGAGTATGATTGTTGGTTGGTCAGTAAACACTGGTGTGGCCTCAGTAACCCTTGAGAGAGTGTCAGGGCACCAAGCCCACCTCTCCGTGTAAATACATTTGTGTTTACCTTAGTCCTGAATTATTTTCCTGGTTAAAGTATACATACAGGTTGGTCAGTGTGCTAGTGTCACGGCCTTAACAGCTCTCGTGCAGTTGACCGCACCGAAGCCCAGTACCAAGCCATCTTCTATGTAAATATACTAAAAGTTACAAACCCATTATTTCCATAAATATTTTAGATAATTCTTCTGAATTATTTTTGTCTTTTGACTTGCTGGGTCACCGGCTTCCCTTAGCCTCATATACTCTCGCCCACCATTGCAGACGACCTTACAGGCGAGTCTGAAAATACTATCTTGTAAAAATAGTTTCTTTAGCTGGAGGTAACTATTCAAGTGTGTACCCTCAACAGAATTGCTAAGACTTACTACACTTCTTGCGAGACGGGGAAGGAGCTCCTACTGTTGGAGGATCTACGGACCCGGGGCTTCAAGATGTTTGACAGGCGTCGAGGCATGGACATCCCACACGCTCGCCTGGTGCTGACGGAACTTGGAATGCTGCATGCTGCTTCCTTGTTGTTGGAGAGAATCCTTCCAGAGCATGACATTACGAAAGCTTGGCAGGTTTTTGAAGATGATTGGATGAATGATGGTGAAGCAAAAAAAATGTTTGGGGCCATGTCAAGAAATCAACTGGAAGGAGCAGCATTAATCATGGAGAAGGTAGGCACGAGCTTTCCCACCAACTGGAAGGAGCATAAATAACCAGGAAGAAGGTAAGTTTGTGTCTTCCAGCCAACTGGGAAGATCAACTGTTATCATGGAGAAGGTAAGCACGTGCTTCCCAGCCAATTGGAAGGGGCATAAATGACCAGGGAGAAGGTAAGCACGTGTCTTCCAGCCAATTGGAAGGAGCAGCAAAGATCATGGAGAAGGTAAGCAGATGTCTTCCAGCCAACTGGAAAGATCAGATATAATCATTGTGGGAGATTGGTCTGCACTGCTGAGAAGTGCAGAGCACCTTGCGGTACACCTAGCCCAGATGCATGCATGCACTGTAAGGGAAGGGCGTTTGAAGGCATCTTTCTCATATGGCAAAAACTTAATTTGACATATTCATGAAAGAACAAACTCATATTCACGAAAGTACGAAAAAATACCAATGGGCACATTTGAAAGTGCCGCCGGGACAGTAGCCAGTGTTCCCGCGCGTATAGGATGCATTAACAATGTCTGAGGTGCCTGCAAAAATTAGGGAAAAGTAGTGTTAAGAATATTACGATAACCATTTCCATGCACATTCGGCGACTTAAAGTTACGACTGGAGATTAGTGGTAAATGTTGAAATACAATACAGGATCTAACAAACTAATATATGGATGCAGGGGAGAATATTGTAAATTTGAATAACACTGGAACGCTTGGCGGGAACACGAAGCCGCCGCTGCCGACTGTGAGAAAGAGAAAGGGACCCCATTACTCGGGATATCGAGGACGCAGAGACTGAAGCTATGTAAAGTCTTTTAGAGCTATGTAAAGGCTCCTGCAGCTATGTAAAGGTTCTCCATGTCAGTGGCTGCTGTGTCGGCAGCCACTGCCTGGCTGTCAGCCACGCCATGTGACACCATCAGCCATCTATACATGTTGCATGCGATCACGTGCAGTCGCAGTCGTGCACGTGTATGTGTTGCAACCTCTCAGTGTGTACCTTGCACACTTTCCAGGTGTGGTAGTTGTTGTGAGAAGCCAATACAACTGCTGTGAAGTCTAGCACCGTTTCCCATTTGAAATAGTGCCGAGAAGACTGCCATACTCCATGTTGCCACTTGTGGACGAGGAAGTAAATCATCTACCAGATCCCCTGTAGAGCTGATGGTATGGGTATTGGTATGATTGTGGACGAGGCCAGGGTTCTGTACGTACAGCATATGTTGTTGTTATATTACGGTCTCTCTGCGCGCAGTTCTGTGGGATTTGCCAGTTATTCTTGCCTATTCAACACCTGCAGCAGGTGAAGACTGAGATAAGGAAGACCAGATGGTAAACGGGTCACTTACCCGTGGGGTAGTATGGTGACCTACTTGTCATTGTATGTGTGATGATACATGCCACACATTTAGTTTACTTCCTGTTATTGTTGTTGACTCTTCCTTTGACAAATAATATGTTATGCATGGCAGTTGCTCGTCCCATGGACAGAGCCTTGCGATTTATTGTGCTTGTACATGCAATTACCCGACCATCCTATTGGGCTCCTATGCCCCACGCTAGTTTTGCATACCTGTAGTAAATAGGAAATTAATGTTTGCTTGTATTGAAAGTGTTAAGTAAGATTTTGTTCCTAATGGAGCCGTCATGCATCAGACGTTCCATATCTCTCTGGTGTGATTTACCTTCGCTGGCACCAAGCTCGAGTAATGCAACCGCTATGTACTAGCAAGTAAATTATTGAATAAACTACTCGCATTGGTGTCTTCAGCTCATATAATTTCTTCCTGTATCTTTAACATCATACACGCCTATAAAGACACGAATTCCATAAATTATAATGAGAATCTGGGAGTTCTTTTGCTTCATTTGCATCAAGGGACTCTTGTGGCCCAAGTGCATCTTAACCCAGTGAACACCTACTTGAAGAGGACCACCCACAGAAGAGTCCCAATCGACTAGTGTACCCAGGTCTTGTACCCATTGTACTGGTACTTGCTGGATCTTCTTAACTTTTAGTGAGCCGTCTGCCATACGAAAATAGGTGATGTTGCTTATAGTTGCAATCAGGAAACAAAGTCATATCCGACTATCATGAAGGTAAGAACTTGACTTCCAGGCAACTGGATATATAGCAGCTATCACCATGGAGAAGGTAAACACATTTGCTAATATATGTATTCAAAAGTTGTTCACGCTTGTCTTGTATGAAGTATATTATAAGTAGTGCTGTCCTCAAGAGTTCTGCTCATAACTGTAAGTATTTTCGTGTCTAAGCACTAAATACAATCAAATACAGAGAGTAAGTTACAATAACGTGGCTGATAATTAGATACCAAACCAACACATCTGAAAATACATATTTTGGTCTTTTTATAAAATCATCTTTCTTGCCTCTGTTCTTCACAGACGCCGTCTTGTCGAATCTGCTCTCACACACATGTCCAATATGAGCCTTAGTCGTGGCTTTGTGGCTGTCGACTCTTGTCTATCACAGTACATAGATGCTCTAACTTTCTTAACAAACGTGATCTGACTTGGCTCTAACCCCTCTAACCTCCCCTTTTATTTATTTTATGTTACCATCCTTTTGTCTCTTTCATATCTTTCTCTTCGCCATTAGGCCTACTGCAGTTTTCTTTATTCCTATGAACTACAATATTATACTTCAACCTTCTCGTCTTTCGCCTTACATTCTTACCTTATATATTGACCTTTTATTATACTCTTTCTTTGCACGATTTGATAATGGTCCAGGATGGACAGAAAGGTCTTCACTTCCTTTATTTTCAGACATGTGGGTTAGGAGACTGAAAAACATTAAACAGAAAAATCCTGTTTTGGAAGAAACTGAATGAGATTTAAATAAATAAGTTTTGTTCAGAGAAAAACTGAAATCAATGGTATTGTCAACAATATAGTGTCAGGTTATATTGAGGTTATCTTGAGATGATTTCGGGGCTTTAGTGTCCCCGCGGCCCGGTCCTCGACCAGGCCTCCACGCCCAGGAAGCAGCCCGTGACAGCTGACTAACTCCCAGGTACCTATTTACTGCTAGGTAACAGGGGCATTCAGGGTGAAAGAAACTTTGCCCATTTGTTTCTGCCTCGTGCGGGAATCGAACCCACGCCACAGAATTACGAGTCCTGCGCGCTATCCACCAGGCTACGAGGCCCCCAGTATATTTGTGTCAGTATCAAATGTCAAATAGTGTCAACAAATCAATAGTGTCAACACATGTGTCAACGCTTGTGCAGGGACTAAACGACTATGACAATATAAATAAAAATTAAGTCATTGATTTTACCATGAAATTTGGTGAAAATATCATTATTTTTTTATTCATTTGCAAGAAATTTGGCAAAAACTGTCAATTAAGATTCATGAGAGCTTTTCTAGGTCACCTTCAAATGAGGGTTGTTGACAGGGTCAAGCCCTTGTCGTGAGATTAGCTTGAGATGATTTCGGGGCTTAGCGTCCCCGCGGCCCGGTCCTCGACCAGGCCTCCTTTTTTGTTACCCCCCCCCAGGAAGCAGCCCGTAGCAGCTATCTAACTCCCAGGTACCTAATTACTGCTAGGTAAGAGGGGCATCAGGGTGAAAGAAACATTTTGCCCATTTGTCTCCACTTCCACCGGGGATTGAACCCGGAACCTCAGGACTACGAACCTGAAGCGCTGTCCACCCAGCTGTCAGGCGCCCTATTATGAAGACTTTGTTCGGTTCGCTTGACTAGGAAGACAGTTCAGAATTGCCAATAGTGTCACAATGTAGATATACGCAGGAGATGTCTCGCTTTGGCCAATAAGCCTTCTGCAAATATTTATGTTTATGTTCGAAAGTTGATATAAGGAACGTTTGCGACATAAATGACGTTTAAAGTATTTAAAGCCAAAATAGAAGGTCAAGCAGTGGTTTTAAACTGGAAAAGTTTAGATTTAGGAAATAAATAGGTAGATTCTGGTTAGGAAATTTAATAGTGGTACAGCATATGGGCTAGAGTATCAAGTAACAGTGGAAGTGGGATAAATGGAGCTCTCCACTCCCTCTTATACGCCTCCGCTCTCTGTCTCTGTTTCTCCCTCTGTCTCTGTCTCTGTCTGTCTCTGTCTCTGTCTGTCTCTGTCTCTCTCTCTCTCTCTCTCTCTCTCTCTCTCTCTCTCTCTCTCTCTCTCTCTCTCTCTCTCTCTCTCTCTCTCTCTCTCTCTCTCTCTCTCTCTCTCTCTCTCTCTCTCTCTCTCTCTCTCTCTCTCTCTCTCTCTCTCTCTCTCTCTCTCTCTCTCTCTCTCTCTCTCTCTCTCTCTCTCTCTCTCTCTCTCTCTCTCTCTCTCCCTCTATAACAACACAGGCACTATAGGAAGTGTCTACCTCCCAGGTATCTGGGAAGACTATGCAATAATTGTACCAAAAACTGAAATTAATATTTTGGCTTCAGGTCCCCAACTACGGACACGTGGTAGACTGGATTAATAAAATTAAGGAGACTTCAGTGGACATTTTTATGAACAGTTTCGCCACCAGCTCCGACTTCGGGGTTCTTATCCACGGGGACTGCTGGAACAACAACTTGCTCTTCAGGTATGGCTAATGAGACACACGTTTTGTAGACTAGACACATGCAGGGCAGGTGTTATAAACTAAACACCTGTAGAGCAAGTATCGTAGACTAGACACTTGTAAAGCAAATGTTGTATAATGACACCTGTAGACCAAGTGTTGTAGACTAGGCACCTCCGCCGTCAAATCACCACCAATACGGCTAACACTTAAAAATAATAATTACCACTACTAACACCATTAAAATCAGTAATGATTATATTATTATTTTTCCCCATATTGTGAGCTTAATCATATTATTCACGTATGTCTTTATCATAAACGTTCATCACGCCCCGCAGGTACGACGCCGCCGGAGACCCCGTGGAGGTGATGCTGGTCGACCTGCAGATCATGCGTCGGGCCTCTCCCGCCGTCGACCTCAACTACTTCTTATACTCCAGCTTTAACGGCCCCGACCGCACTCCCAACTTGGAGACGTACCTGAAGATCTACCACACCTCCTTCAGCAGCGTGCTGGAGGCTGGCGGCGCTGCCGTGCCCTACACGCTAGAGGAGCTTCGGGAGGAGTTCCGGCGCCGCATGCTGTTTGGGTGCATCACGGGGATGTTCCTCATACCCATCGTGCTGAGCGAGGCGGAAGATGTGCCGGACTTGGATGCAATGACGGATGGCAACATGGAAGAGTTCGCTAAAGAACGTCAAGAGGTCGTCCTTAAAATGAGCATGAGGGACGATGGGCTCCTCAAGCATAGGTTTCTAGACATGTTTGATGACATGCTCGAAGCGGGAATTATATCATAGTTTACCATATCATGTTCCGGAAGAAAATGTTAGCATCAGAATAACACTATTTATTTAGCTCACGTCAATTATAATAAATTTCATAAAAGTTACATTCATTAAACATTTCTATTTTATTTAATATATGACCTTCAAACAAGTGCCTCGTAGCTTCGCTCTTGACTCACAATCGGAGATCCCGGGTTGGATTCCTAGGCGGGGCAGAAATGGTTGGTCACGTTTCCATTCACCTAATGGGTTTGTTCATCTAGGAATAAATAGGTATCCGAGAGTTAGTCAACTACTATGGGGTTGCATCCTGGGTAAGGTCAGTAGTTCGACCTTGTGGCGACCTCAATATAAGCCTTATGTATATATGTATATATATATATACACACAGGCTTCCTTGTACAACGAATAAATTTTATCTATAGTAATTTAAGCACAACACTTATCGAAGACTAATAACACCGCTGCCGTCAGTTATAAACTGACACTTTGAACTGCAATGCAGCCACCGCCGTCACACTCTGGGTCGTCCAGTGTCCGTAACGAGCGTGCAGAGAAGGGAGAGGGAGTGAGGAGACGAGATGTTAAGTGTGAGAGAGGCAGGGAGTTAAAGGGAGAATAAGAAAATAGAAGAGCGAGAGAGAGAGTAGAATGAGAGAGGAAGAGAGGGAGAAGGAGAGGGAGAGGGAGAAGGAGAAGGAGAAGGAGAAGGAGAAGGGGGGGGGAGAGAGAGAGAGAGAGAGAGAGAGAGAGAGAGAGAGAGAGAGAGAGAGAGAGAGAGAGAGAGAGAGAGAGAGAGAGAGAGAGAGAGAGAGAGAGAGAGAGAGAGAGAGAGAGAGCAGCCGGATGATGGTATGGACGTATAAGTTGACGTCGTTGCCCGCTAATTTGTCGGCGAGGTGTAGAAATACCTGTAGCAGGGTGTTGTTGGTGGTAACTGCAGGCTTGGTTGGTGGTAGTGAGGGCTGCGGAGGTGAGCTTGGAGGTGAGGGACCAGGCGGTGGTGAGGTAGCAGCAGCTTCCCCAGATGTGTTCCTCGGGCAAGGCCGGGAAAGCAGCCGTAGGCGGGTTGGCTGGCTGAGGCGAGATAGTGTTTGCCATCATCTTTTTTATCTCCTACTGCCGGTGGAGACAGGTGAAACTGCAGTATACGGGGCATTGCAGAGGTCAGTGTAGAAGTATGGATGACTGTTGTTACGGGGGGTGAGCTGGGGCTCTGCCAGCAAGGCGGGCTGCTTGGGGCTTAGGAGACAGAGTACTCAGCCACCCTGACTCACGTGATTCACCAGTCAGTTAGTCCCACAGGAGAGGACCACGTAATGCCCACCACCGCAGGTCTTTGCTCCCACCACCAGGGTGCCCAATGATTCACCCTGGGAGCCCTTCAGTCAACCACGGGAAAGCTGCTATCATCAGTTCCGACCTTGACCCAAGGAAGAGTGAAGGAAGACTCCGGCTTACCTTATACAACACTTCCTCTTGAGTCTTGCCTGCCATAACAAACGATTGCAGGAATTCCTTTCCCTCTGCGTTTCTCTGTCTATAACAGGTCGCCGGCTTGGTTAATATCTCTGCACCCCAGCAGTGCAGTTTAGTGGGTATACACTAGGTTGCCTGTTGCCAAAGTGTTGCTACTCCTACAGCGTTGACACAGGACTGCCAGCCTAGGGTACGCTTTCATAAAGGTCCGTGTTGCTCTACCACCGACCAGCCACTAAGTAACTTCTATATAAGACTCACTGTTCACTAGGTGGGGCTATAATATCCCTCGTGTATGCTCATAGAGATAATATAGAGGCGCACTTAAACACATTACTAAAATATGTGATATTTATTAACATAAGCTACATGATCACATATACAAGTAATAATGATACAGGAATGGATATAAAGAATAAATGATCTGGAGATCGTTGGCAACTCTTCTCTCACAACCTCCGGCAACTCCATCAGCTGGGCAGGGGGGGTCTCACACCCTCTCACAGGGGGGCTGCTTCGTCCACCGCCTCTCCAACTACCGCGTCGTCCACACACACACACTGTCCTCTTCAACAGTCGTGAACACAAGCTGCCCTGCAGCCTATCCTAATACTAATGCACCAATGTTATACTGAAACATACATATATAAATATCATGGCCTAACTAGCCTAATCAACAAGGGGTAATGGGAGGGAAAAATTGAGCTACCTTCAACATTCCTGGCTCACGACGCCTGTCCGGTGTGGACAGGCGTCGTGAGAGATGGTGTGACGTTCCCACGATTCCTGAGTCGGTCCTTAACGATCCAGTAATGTGTTGCAGGACCTCAGGTGTCGTGAAGCCATTGCATCCTCGCCACTCCCAAAGTTCAAATATCCCAATCCTGGTCCAACCAGTGGTCACTGAGCCGGTCACTGTATACACACGTTTCTTTCACAGAGACGTTTCTCCTCAACCTAGAAACGGTGTCTTCCCTCCAACGTCCTCAGTGGATGTGACCCGGTCACAGCAGGCCTGCCCGCCACACCATCCAGACCCTCGGACATCAGGCGGCGCCCTCCAGCGTCGTCGCCGACCGATTCCTCAAGTTTTGTCACTTCTTTGCCCAATAAATTTGGCTTCTTGCTTCTCAGAAGCACAGGGTCTCCAGTAATAATGGCGGGCTGCGATGGCTGCCTATGATCCACTGAAAGAGACTCCCAGAACCTCTAGTCTCGAGAGCTGATCGACGCACGACCTCTCGCGTCCACAGTCAGATCAACTCTGGCGACACCTCCGCGGCGCCGCCAGGGACACTCGGTGACGTCACGGCAGGCGCTGATTGGTTGCCCGCGGCACGTGACCTCAGCCAGCCAATCCGCAGCCGGTTGACGTCGTCCACAAAATGGCGAATTTGCAGGCATTGGGCGCCATTTTGTTTGTATCAAGGGCGCTACTTTCCCTTTTATCTACAAACTTATAAATGAAAATTTCCAACTAGTCCTCCTGTAACAGTAGGGACCATCTTGTCAGCCTCTGGTTCGAATTTTTCATTCTGTGCACAAACGTCAAGAGGTTATGATCGGTGAACACTCGCACCGGTTTCGTACCTCCACCCACATAGACATTAAAATGTTTCAGAGCCATGAACAGGGCTAAGGGTTCCTTCTCCACTGTACTGTAAGCCTTTTGGTACTTTTCGAATTTCCTTGAGTAAAACGCCACCGAGCAGTGAACTTTTTGTTCACCGCCCGGTGAACAAAAGGACTTTTGTTAGTCCTTCTCTTGGGCTAACATGACTCCAATCCCTACATCGCTAGTGTCGACATACAAAATGAAGCCTGACTTAATAATTCAAGATAATAAGTCAGGTGAAATCAGCACTGGTGCTTCGGTTAACAACTTTGTGTTCTTGAATGATTCCTGGCACGCTTCATCCCACTTCCATCTAACGTTCTTAGTCAATTTAGTCAGAGGGTGTGCTACTGTCGAGAAGTTCTTGCAGAATCCTCTACAATATCCAATCATCCCCAGATATCGTAACAACTCCTGCCTTGTCCTGGGAATCCGATATTCTTCGATTGCAACCACCTTCTGTTCCACTGGAGTCACTTCTCGTTGGCCTAAATATTCTAATTGGGCTTTCCCGAACTCGCTCTAGGCCAGATTAACTGTCAGGTTCGCTTCCTCCAACCGTCGGAACAACTCCCTCAGTCGATTCATGTGTTGTTTCCAGCTATCGACGTACACCACTATATCGTCTATGTACACAGTGCAGCCTTCCATCCCTCTTAGTACTTCGTTCTTCATCCTCTGAAAAGAGCTTCCACTGTTTTTCATACCAAACGGAAGCACTTTGTAATGGTACAAACCGTCTGGAGTAGCAAACACTGAGATCTTTCTTGCACTCGGAGACAAAGGGATTTGATAATACCCTTTCAGCAGGTCGACCTTGTTGACAAACCTTGCGTTTCCCACTTGGTCGACGCAATCACTTATTCCGGGCATAGGGTGGGAATCCGACACGGCTATGAAGACCTATGAGGATACTCACACGCTTTGCGATAGTCGGTGCAAAAGCTATATGATCCGTCACTTCTTAACCAACACACAGGGTGAGCTCCACTCACTGTTGCTCGGCTCAGTGAGATCATTCATGGGCTAGCAGATTCGCTAGCCCATGATATCACCCTAACAAGAGAAATGCTAAATAAAAATACTTGTATAATAGACAAAACCCAAGATGCAAGAAGATTACAAATTCTTGAATCCATATAAAAATAGAACAACATACCATGAATACCCAAATTTCGGAACTATTTACTCTACCCACCACGAGAGTAAGAATAAGACCGTAACATAACGATGCCAACACAGAAGACACTGCTCAACATAATAGGCCTATTACAATGATTAATTATTGTATCTGCCCCTATTTACCCCCGTTTTCCACTTATGTTTTCACCTGACCCCGTACTGGTATAAATCTACCGAGTTTTGTAATTTCTTATCACTTGAGAATGAACCATGTAGGTTCGAAACGTCGTGCGATTTTATGATAAGTGCAATACATTATTCAGTTATTCACTTTTTTTTCTTTACCTTTAAAACGAGCATGACTTTTTGTGAACTCCTTTTCCAGCTGAACCCTGATGCAAGAACACTAGTAAAAGGGATAGAAGCCCTAAACCTGTAAATAGTTAATGCGAAATATGCTGTCATATTCAATGAAAGATGCATAAAAGAAAACCTGCTGCCAGTATACACCTCTATATATATATATATATATATATATATATATATATATATATATATATATATATATATATATATATATATATATATATATATATATATGTGTATTTTTTTTTCCTAGAAGGGGTACCACCTCTGGTGCAAGTGTAGGGACCCATAGCCTCGGAGAAGAAAATAAAGAGTACTCAGAGAAGACCTTGTGGATCCTCACTGAACACTTTGATATTTTCTTCTCCTACCACCCCTATTCTTTTGGTAAGTGTGTATATTTATCTAACTTTATTTGAGAATGTCATTACACAAAAAAAGTTACAATATTGATTACATGCAGGGTACAAGGCTGCCTTGTACTCTCTCTCTCTCTCTCTCTCTCTCTCTCTCTCTCTCTCTCTCTCTCTCTC